ATTTTATATTACATAAATTTTAAATTTATTATAACAGTACATAAATTTAAAAATTTAATATTAAAAAATAATATATAAATATAATTAATACAATATTTTCAGCTACATGGGTGAGATTAAGATGGAAAAATTTAAGAGATACTTACTGTCGTATACTTAAATATAAAAACAAAACAGAAAAAGGAGTTCGTAGAAAAAAATGGATTTTTGAAGATCATCTTAGTTTTCTGAAATTTCCGTAAGAAAATTATGTAATATTTTAATAACTTAGTATTTAATAATGATAATTTTGTTAAAGTTATATAATATATATAATGTTCAATATATTAGTTATTAATATTATATTATAATTTGATATATAATATAAATATTAATTTAAATATGAATCATTAATATAAATATTTATTTAGGTATGAATCAGATTATCAACCTCAAAGTATAGAATTAACTGAAGATTACATTCAGGATATAAATGCAGGTGGTATAAGCTCTGAAGGTCTTTTAGAACAATTAGAAGATCGAAATGATGAAGATTATAGTGAATATTTGGAGGTTCTAGAAGAAACAACTGCAGATCCAATTTTAGAACATGATTCAATAGAATTAAATGATCATAGCGATAATGCAGTGAAAAATGTGGAAGTAGAAAATACAATGCAACATGATATTGATTCATATGCTCAACAAATTCAATCAAAATATAGAAAAATAAGACCAAAGAAAATGAAAATCGAATCACTAGATGTGCCTGCAACTTACAGTATTTTAAAAACTTCACCTTTTAAAAATAAAACAGTTGATACATCAATTTTTGTTACTACACCAACTACAAATAATTCTACAAAAAATTCTTCTAAAATAGAAGTAAGATGTAATTACCATTGTTTTTAATTAGTTACTTCTTATTTTGTTTAATTTCATAAATACATATTATAGGATACACAGAACAATTATGATCAAGTTTATTTAGCTCCTGAAGGAAAAAGTAGTATAGAACTTTTTTTTGATAGTATGGCACAAACTGTTAAACGACTCCCTCCAAAAGCTCAAGCAGATATTAAAATGAATATTTGTAAAATTGTAACAGAAGCAGAACTAAGGTATTCTGGACGTAATACACCTCAGAGTACTCAACAATTTATAGCTCCACCTGGAATGATTCCTAAATTAGTTCTCATTCCATGTAATATGATTGATGGACAAAATAACAAAGGTTAATTTTTTATGACAATGATTTCTACCTGATGAAAGAATTATTGTGATTTATTGTAATATAAAATTCGTTTATCTTACTATAAAAAACTACTATAAAAAATGAAAAATATTAAGCTAAACAAATAGTTCAAATAAAAATGATTTTTCTATTTAATGTTGTGTTTTATCTTTTTATAATAAATTGAAAAAAGAATGTATATAAATAATATCGTTATATTTTAAGCTGTTGTTATATAAATATAGTTATTTTAATAGAATTATTGTTGTTTTAAAATATTTATTTATACCCAATCAATTTATTTTTCTTAATAAAAATATTTTAATGAATCATCAAAGACAAATATATTTATTAATTTAATTATTTAAATGGAATCTTTAAATTATTAAGATAATTTAATATAATATGTTCAAATAATTAAAAAATTAATTATATAAAAAAAAATCTAAGAGATCTTTTATGATAATATTTTTATGATTATTATGAAAATTTATAAGTTATTCTCAAGTCATGTCATCTATTAATCAATCTGTAATTTTTTGTTTTTGAAAAATAATATGATAATCAATTTATAGAAAATATTTTTAATTTAATATAGATTTCATACATATTAACTTTTTGAAAAATTTTTTATATATATTTAATTACAATTATTTGTGTTTATTATATATTTCCGTATGAACATTTTATTTTATATTTACAACATTATATTTGTGAAAAATTATAATATATTCAACTAGATTATAATATATTCAATATATGTAATAATATAATAATAATAAATATATAATAATATAATAATTTAACATATCTAAAATTATTTATTGAATTATATTAAAAACAACAATATATGTAAAATTTACATAAAACATATCTATTTGTAAGTTTCAAATTATTTTATTATTAAATTTATAATTCTACAATTCATTATTATTGATATATTTTTAAAATAAAGATTTTAGATATCCTCTATTATATAATAGAATAATAGTTTTTAAATTTTGTATTTATTTTTTTAATTTCTTTTATTTATATATTCTGAGAGATATACTCAAAATAATTATTTTCTTTATAAATAACTTATTCTATTTTTCAATAAATATTGCTATTGCATTAAAAATTTCATTTTTGAAATTGCAATATATATATCAAGGTTATTTATTGTTGTATTTTGTTTATATATAATAAAAAGAATAGATCTTTATTTGCTATTTTTATCTATTATCATTTTATCCAACTTTAGAAAATATATTTAAAAAGTTGTAATATTTCTTTCATTTTGTGATTATTTTATTTTTATGATTATGTTATATGTATAATCAATATTTATTTTATCATGAGTAATATATAATATAAAGATAAATGGTTTGTTAAAAAATTTTTAAATTTTTTGATAATAAATTATCTATATAATATATAGAAAATTTATCTATATAATATATAAATGATTATAATAATGATAATAATATAAATATATTTTTATTTTTTTAATTTATAAAATAATTTATAAATATATAATACAATATCTCAAATATAAAAACATTTGTCAGATTTGTCTTAAGGAAAAACAATTAAGAAAGAGCTATTGTTTTGAACAATTTCTTTATTTTAAAGTATATTATATTTATTCTAAAATATAAAAGTAATGAAATTCAAAAAAATTTATGAAAAATAAAGAATTATTGTCCTAATCTAGTTACATATGTATATAAAATCTTAAATCAATAACAAATGAATCAAGATTTGCATATATGCATATTTAATATGACTTTCTTCGTTAAAAATGTTCTGACAAACATGTTGATAAAATTGTTTATATAATTTGTGTAATCATTAATTTTTTATATAATAATTATGAATATAATAAATTATATAGAATATTTAAGTTATTATGAGGCATAAATTATTTTATTAATAATTTTTTTGTTTTA